CCCCAAAACCCCAAAACCCCAAAACCCCTAAGAGCAAATTTGGATAGGATTATTGGAATTGAATTAAATTAGAAGAAAATTTTGATACTCGATGAGTATCTTTCATCGACCTAGTTCAAAATTTTTAGAAAATCTTTTTATCTTAGTGAGTTTGGTGTGAGGTAATTTGAACTTTTAGGCTCGCTTGAGCCTTATCTTAAGAAGAAGGGATTTTAGTTAATTATATTATTACTTAAAAGTCCTACTTCTACTTATAAATTTCCTTATAAATTTACTACTGCAATTCGCATAAATGAAAGATTTTCTGACTCACAATCCTTTGAACTTAACATATTCATCAAAGCTCATCTTGACCTTCAATGACTCATAGGTTTTGGCTCTCATGGAATCTCTTACTGACTCAAACCCTTTACTATACCCAGCTTTTCTCACAAGATATTCCAAAGTTTCTCTCTGATCCCAACCTTGTTCAGGTGCCACTTCTGGCAGAAAAGTTCCGTTATAGGGTCTACCATTTTTTTCAAAGCTAATCTCTATACCGTGCTTTCCAACTTCCCATGCCAAAGGATCCTAAATACTAGTGAAATTCACTAGTAAACTGACTCCAACTTGAAGCTCTGGCACCTCTGCCTTTGATATTGGATCAAATCTATCGTCTTATAATGCTGATATAAGTGAGTACTATCCAAGAATTTTACTAAGTCTTTAGCCTTAGAATGTTCCAATACAACCTCTAAGATCTGATTCAGGTCCTTTAGTCCAAGTCACAAAAATTGGATATTTAGGATCCTCCAATCCATCAGGATAGTTGGGTAATTCTTTCTTATCAAGTTTTGCAATGAGTGTATTGAAACAGAAAGCTGCAAGAATTTTCAAATCAAGTTAATTCTAAGAGTCCATTTGTGCTAACTAAAATTATTATTCTTTAATTCCTCAAACTATCAAGCTTAAATGTACTTATCGAACCTTGGGGTTTTGGGGTTTTGGGGTTTTGGGGTTTTGGGGTTTTGGGG